TCCCCGTTAACCCCCTCAGCCCCACCCCCCATTATATGAGTTTAAAACTGCCAAATAACAGGTTCAGAGCTACTATCAATACCAACTTACATTTTCTGGGGAAAGTTAAGTCAGGTCCATATGATGCTCCCCCCCAAAAAAAAGATATAAAAACTTGGCCATATTTTTTACTTGATGGCCCCTCATCATTAAAAGTTGATCTGGTCTGAGTTCAGACAGAAAAGCTTAGCTCTCAAAGGAATACCTGCACTCCCACGTTTATCACAGCTCTACCTACAATAACCAAGTTATGAAACAAATGTAAATGTGTGCAGGACTGGATAAGGAAGATGAGGCGTACATGCACAATGGAACACTACTCAGTCATGAAAAACACTGAAATTCTGCCATTTGCATCAGCATGAATGAGCTTGATTGGAGAAAATTATGTTAAGTGAAATAAGCCAGGCACAGAAAGAGAAATACCGCATGTTCTCACTCATATGTGGGAGCTGAGAGAGGAAGGAAGGAGGGAAGGAAACAACGGTCATATAGTAATACATTGAACTTTCAGGAGAGAGCAGAAATGCGGTTACTAGGGGTGGGAAAGGGGAAGGCGGAGGGGAGATAGTGAGAAATTAGTTAAAAGGACACAAAACTAGTTAGAAAAAATAATTTCTATTGATGTATAATCGAGCGAGGCATCTATAATCAACATTAATTTACTGCATGTTGTCAAATGGCTAGAAGAGAAGGGATCAAATGTCCTCAACACAAAGAAATGATTATGTTTTGTAATGATGAATATGCTCATTTTCCTAATTTGATCATCACACACTGTACAGAGAGATTGGTATTCAACCCTGTACCTCACAAATATGTATCATCAATTACGTTCCAATAAAAAGAAAAGAAAAGCTTAGCTCTGATGGGTCATATGGTTAAAAGCCAAAGACAGCTTTTGTTGAGGGCAAACACACCACTTCTTGGTTTGCTCCATGGCAGGAACGACCCATGCCCAGGGTGCAGCAAAGAGGATGGGCAAGAAGCAGCAGCTGTCACTCAGCAAGGCACGAATATTCACACCTCGCTCACCGATGACAGCGAAATCCCACTAGGTAACTGCCTTCCCCAGAGAAGCTGCGGGCAACTCCTTTCCAGCTGAAGGATCTGTTTCTCACCTGTGTGCTCCTCACCTGTGTGCTCCTCACCCGTGTGCTCCTCACCCATGTGCTCCTCACCCACATGCTCCTCACCCGCGTGCTCCTCACCTGTGTGCTCCTCACCTGTGTGCTCCTCACCTGCATGCTCACCTGCGTGCTCACCTGTGTGCTCCTCACCTGTGTGCTCCTCACCTGCATGCTCACCTGTGTGCTCACCTGCATGCTCACCTGCGTGCTCACCTGTGTGCTCCTCACCTGCATGCTCACCTGTGTGCTCCTCACCTGCGTGCTCCTCACCTGTGTGCTCCTCCGGCTGAATGGTGAAGGCAGAAACACCCGTTATCAACATGTACAAGATGAACATTGTCCCCGACAACTTCCAGAGCACACGGGAAGTGGAGATCTGAGGTCCGGCACCCTGTAGCCTAGCGGAGGAGGCAGGAGGTCACCAGCAGCCACAAACTCTCAAAGGGAGAACCCTTGAAGATGGTCCCAGGGTAGCATCTGGAGGCTTCACCAGCTGATGGAAAACTTTTTGCCTAGATCTTGTTTTAAACAAGAAAACCCAAAATTCTTTGATTTGCTACTCTACAGCTACATTCACCAAACATGCCTTAACTCAAATCCCTGGAGCACTTGCAGACCCTCTTGAAATAGGAATTCCGTATCCTAAGTTTCTGTCTCTGCAGCAGTGTGCCTCAGCAGTCGCTGCCCCTCTGCCTGAGACACTCTCCTTGGCTGAGATGTCTGCTCGTGCCCTCCCCTCCTTCAAGTCTATGCTCACGTGTCATTCTCTTGGTGAGGCTTCTCTCACCTCCTTGTATGAAATCGCAACATCCTCCTGCCCAATCCTCCGTATTTTCCTCTCTGCTCTGCGGCTGTCTATGGCGTTCATCATCAACCATGTCTCCTCTCTCTGTCATGTCAGCTCACGTGCACACGGATTCTACTTTGTTCTATTGACAATTCTGTCCCCAACTCCTATTTACTGAATGAATGAAGGAGTGAATGGATCACTAGAAGCCGAAAGGTCCTCACCTTTCACTTGTCAGAGAACTTTTTCTATATTCCCTGTGGGTTGACTCTTACTTTACACACGATTCTGACATACGCTGAGAGATTCTGCACACTGCTCACTTTCTGCTCTAAAGCATCCTAGGGGAAAAGCAAAATAAGGTCCAAAACATGATTAATTTATACAAGTTCATAAAGCATTGCTTCCTCAAGCTTCCCCAAGACTGGAGTATCTTTGGTGTCTCCCTGTGGTCCTTCCCGCAGCATGTCACCATTGTCGGTTGCACCAGCTAACCATTGCCACAACAATGCTGCTTAACAAACCATCCCAAAACTGAACAGTGTAAAACAACAATCATTCATTCCTACTCACAAGTCTGTGGGTCAGACGGAAGTCGGCTAGTCTAGGCCAGGCTGTCTTAGGCCTGGCTCCAAGCTATCAGTGGGGTCCGAGCCTGTTGCATGTGTCTCTCATCCTCCTTGGCCTAGTAAGCTTCCCAGGAGGTGATGTTCTCACGGGATGGCAAATACCATGTGGGCAAAGCACACCGGGCCATGCTCAGAACTAACTCACTCTTGTCTGCCCACATTCCATCAGCCACAGCAAATCAGGGGGCCAAACCTGCCATCAGTGGGGCAGGGAAATAGTTACACTGGGAGGGGTCAAGAAGTGGGAGCATCTGACATCTACCACACCTGATGCTTGACCGGCTCCCCATGGGTGGTGACAACCTTGAGGCAGAAGCTGGGTCTAGCTCACAGCCCTCACAGCCTACACAGTTCCCAGCCCCAGAAAGTACCAGGGAATATTTATGATCAGAGTCTACCAGACTTGGGAGTGGTGAGCAAATACAGAAAAAAAAAAATTCCAACCACACTTTCCTTGAGTCGTTCCCTGCTCCTGGAACAGATTTCATTACAGATGACTTGCAGTAAACCCAGATGGCTCTTAACTGGTCAAGGAACAGCTGGCGTTGAGGAAGTGACCTTTGTTCTCTAGAATCTCCCTCAAGAGTCAGGAAACATCAGAGTCCAAGGGCTCTGAGTTGCAGTCTGAGCTCCCACTTATGGTGACCCGAGATTTTCCCCTTAGCAGGGCATCTGGCCTGGAGCTGCCTCCCCTAAGCTCTTCCTGTTTCTACACCGTCTTATCCTTCACATGTTTCTAGAGTGCGAATATTTCCTGTAACTGCTAACCCAACTCTCAGGTTCTCCAGGCCACTTGTTTAACACGAGGTCACATAAACATTGGCCAGTTTGCTTTGTCCTCTTCAGACACACACTAGTTTACCATGTCCCCCACTGTTCTGGCCGCAGCCAAACTCATTAATTCTCTA